TTCCAATCGGACATATGTTTAATGTGATCTAATATCGCCATTCATTATTAAACCTTTTCCCTCAGTGTTTGGAAGGATAGTGTGAAGTGCGTGTATACATATTTGGCTTTTGTCCGTCCAATCCACCGTATACTCCTCCACCCCATACAGTCTGACCGGTGCTGTCGGCTATCGCTGTCGCTGTCTGCCATTTCCATTTCTCCTGTATGTCCTGCATATTAAAAGAGTCGCGTAAATAAATAAGCATATTCAATTTTGTATGGAACGTGAATCGTATCGAAATGTTTGACAAAATAAGTATTACGTGACTGTGAAGCAGCATCAGTATGTATATGTGTCTTGTCACAAGTATCCTGTAGCAACATGCTTGCCTATGGCATTAAATGCTTAGCCGGAACATCTGAAGTGCACCACACTAAAAGACGGAGCCAGTGGACGGGACATTATGATTTACATAGTCCGCCCGGCTCGGACTTGCTGAATTATTCACTTAATTGGGGCCCAAAGGTCCCGTAGGGAATGTCCTCGCAATGGACGTCGAATGTCAGAGTTGATGCCAACCGAGCACAGCACGAGCACAGCAAAACGCAACTGTCGAAACCAACACAAAAAAAAAAGATATATCCGGTGCAAAATGTATCTGCGGGATGCATTTGGCATGCAAATGCATTACAATTCGCAATTGGAATTCAGTTTCATCTGCTCGATTGGCGCAGTTGTTTATGTTGAACAAATACATACGTACATACATGCCGAATCTAATTATCGGTGGCCTGTGGCCGGACCTGATTGTATTCAGTTCCAACGTTTGCATTTAATTAGCGCATCCCATGGTCTCTCATCAGCAGCTTCTGCTAAGCTCATCGATTTTCAATGAGACTTTTAATGCATTCGTCAGAGAAAAGATTTTGTGATCCTTTGCATTTTATTTTTCGTGAAAGCCATTCAGAGTCTTCGAATTATATTTCAAATCTACTCAAGTCTAACCTTGAATCAGTTTCTGCTGCTGCCATTCCAAATTATATTTTCAACTCACTAAGCGGGATTTTCAGCAGATTATTTACCCCATCGCTTGCGCTGGCTGCGTTGTTTCAAGGATTACCTTCCCACACGAGGCAGGCACGGGCACGGGCAAGGGCACAGAGCAGCAGTTGGACCCATACTTAGTTATAAGTGCTGCCCGACGTGCTCACATCCTCATCCTCATCCTTATCCGCGAGAACACTGTGAATGGGGGTGGGACCGGGAACTGGCGGCAAGAGATTCAATGTTAAATGCTTTGCCAAGTGTCATTTGGCAGGCAGTTCTCGTAGTCCCATGTTGTTCCATGTGTTGCAATTAGTTTTGTCTGTTGGCAATCTCAGCTCCAGCACAACTTTTCAGCTCAAGTTTATTGATTTCTCGTTCGGTTGGGAATGCCACTCAGAAGGTGTTTAATTGCGAAGAAGAGCTTTAGCTGCATATCATGTACACATTGTCTGTCAAAGTTTGTTCCAGATAGAGCTAAAATTAATGGGGCCTAAGAGAAGACTTTTCCTTTCATTTATTCTATGTCTATCGCAACTCTGTGCACTACGTTTACAGGAGATATTATCCATTAGCTATTGTTTGTGGATTGATCTATGTGATACAGCTTGTTATACTAGGCCAAAAGGTAATTATTTACTTAGATGGATGGATTGTATCGCACTTGTGGCTTACCAAAAACCGAAACCAAACCAAAACTATCTTTCCGAAGGCAAATATTCAAATTAGTCAGCACAAAGGCAACAATATATATGTATATGCACATAATAATAGCTTTTGTGTTGGCAGCTTTATGTAATTTTAACAAAGGTAAATGTTACTAGGGTTTATCTTTTGGATAATCGAAACTGCTACTGTGGCAGGATCTGAGCAAACTATGGACAGACACGCAGTGGCAGAGGGTAGTGAGCTGTATCCGGGGCACGATAGGCAGAGAAAGCCGAAACACATTTGTCAAATAACAAACCACCACCCAACCACCTACCCACATACTAAATACACATCCACACACATATCCCGTGTTCAATTGTTTGTGCTGACAGCTAAATGGAGGAGGTTCAGAGCCACACGAAAATGTAAATGGATGCTCCGTCCTGTCCTTCGTATCTCGTTCCCCCATAAAACCATATATACATATACCAGATCCCCTGTCCCCCCCCCTCCCCCCTCCACCATTCCGCATTACATTAGCATGGAAATTGTTAAATTGAAATTGTCATTCACATTTCCGATGCTTGAGTTGGCTTCTTGTGTTCTGCTCCGCTCCGCTTCGCCTTCGGACCAAACCCGGATCGAGTGGGGGGTTAAAGCTTGGCACGTCATCTGCCATGATATACCTTTGTCATTTGATTTCGGATTGGTTGTGGCTTCACGTGGCAGCCACTGCCACTTGGCGACATGAGAACATGGAATGGGCATCATAATTAGGAACCCGAAATCGATAGGTTTGACCAGGCACGGCGAGGAAACCAAAAACAAACACAAACACAAATTACACAGCATTTGAACAGAATTATGGATTGATGGCTTGCCAGTTCACTTGATGGGCAGTCGAACGGATTACACCCTCCAAAATGGCAATTAAATATCGCCTTAGCTCCCTGGGATACCATGGGCTTCACTAATTGGATTCCTAATGAAACATTTTGCATAAATTTGCGCGTTGCCTCGGCAACTACTTTGAAGGCCATTAACTGTAACTTGACCAATTATCGCCCAGTTAGTGATAATGGAGATGCCTCCTTCAATGCCAATACGTGACTGTGGAGAGGCAGCCACAGGAATGTACATGCAGTGATGGGACCAGTAATTAAAGCGCCTTTACGTGGCCTGAAAGTTGACAAAGTCGCCAGGAGGAAGTAATTACATAAATTTGATTTACTCCCTGAAACTGCAATCATTGCACTTGAGCAAACTTCCATCACTCTCGCTCTCATCTTGGGTCCGGCCCTGCGCTATCTCTTCACACTCGAGGAGTCAAAGGAGAGATTGCATCTGCGGCGATTGCAATTTGCCAAAGTTTCCAATCAGAAGTTGTCCCAATGATTGAGCAACCCAGTCCGTGTGAGAGACCCTGTGCGAATGCCTTTCGAATTCTCAATGAGGCATTCCCGGAACGTGTCCTTTGAGCAACAAGTCCGCAATGCGTGCATATCGTTCGAATCTAAAAAAGCTAAAACAGAACAGAACAAAACAGACAACTTTAAACCTTTGCGAATCTTAGTCATGTAACTTGTTTATGCTTTTACACGGAAAAGGGTGGCTGTCCTCTCTGACGGACAAGTTGGCGGACCTGGCCTAAATCATGGTATCCTGTGACAAGCATACAGGGGTCACATAATCAAGCGTATTTCTTGGGAAACTCCATTTAATTTTGTTGTTGTTGCTTGCGCTTGTGGTGGACGTCATTCGCTTTGACGAATGTGTTTGAGTGGAATGAAAGTCGAATGCTTCTGGCTCCATTAATATTTATAGCCTCTAGTAGAAAATTGTGGTCTTGGCGTAAGCCGAAGCAATTTGCCTTGTTTCCTATTGGCAACTCTGCGGGGCTGGTTACTGAGGAGAACACTCAGCCGCAACCGCTGAATCCGCTTACCAATTTCAATTTAAATCTAATCTAAATTACATGATATGCGCACAATTTGAACGCTAATGAGCAATGACTTTGGGGCTAGGGTGCGACGCTGCGTATGCGCAACATATTGCGTGTGAATTTTAATTAAAAAGTTTTCTCACTTACCACCAAGATAATCTCTGGCTCCCCCTCTGTTCTCTTCCTTCTTCTGTGGTGAAACGGATATCGTGTCTCGTTGTTCTCCTTTCCTCCTTCGATTGCATCGATTTTCTGCTCACTTTCAGCTACCATTGAGAGGGGCTTAAGGTTGCTTGTTTTTTTTTTACTCGTACTTGCTCGGACTTGCAAGGGCTATTCACTATTCATTTTAGGGTATTTTAAGGAACTGACCTGCCGAGTTTGCTCTTCTCTCTGGTATTACCATATTACCATATCTATCAGAGTGCCGAATCTGAATCAGATCGGATCATTATTATAGGCAGAATAAAGAGATTAATTTTCAGTTGCTTCCGCCACCTTCTCCAGCAAGAGACCACGCTACTCATTCTCTTTCTCTCTCGCACACATTCTTCCCTGTGCAATGCGCGACCTTTACGGAGAAGATGTAGAATCTACATTGTGTATGTATAATTTACATTTTATATGTGGAATCGACATTGTATGTGTAGATGTAGATAACAGATGTAGCAAACAAATGTAAAATATTTTAAAATTCTACTTAAATCATAAGATCAAAAATATATATGTAAGTATAAATATAAATATAAAAGTAGAGTCGCGTCCCCAGAAGCGCCCGCCCGGCGGGGCCCGGGCTGCCACATTACTTAATTGTCCCCATTTTGGTGGCCTCTACCGCTAACCGACCTCTTTCTCCCCGAGCTCTCTGAAACCAGTTGCCAAATCGTTTGGAAATTCTATGGCTACACATAAAGAGAATTAACTTGTGATTCCTAACCTGTCCTGATAGTAGAGGGTAGCGTATGTGTCTCGTTTGTCTGGCTAAGCAAATTGGTTCATGTCAAAAAGTTGCCCTAATCGATTACGAGCTTTATCAAGCAATACATTAGTAATGCAATTAATCAGGACCATTCATAATTCGTCCATTATCACGACCAGATGATTAACTTTGTGTGCCCAGAGGTAGCTTGCTCTGGCCCAATGGGATAATGGGCCCGGCCCGTTGCTTTCAACCACTTGCTTGATTCTGTTTGGCTGCTCTTCTTGCCTTATGTTCTCTTTTGCTCTCTTGTCGCGCTGTCTCTCTCTCTCTCTCTGTCTCTCTTTGTTTTCCCCCTCTCTTTCGTTGGCGCAGGCGCTGCAAGTTATTCCGAAAATAGCAGGCCAGTAGGAGCATTGCGTATACGCAGCGTTGTCGACTGTGCTCAGTCGCTAGCTGGACGTGATGTTGGCCGGAACGGCACCACGGAAAACAGAAACAAGCCAAACGGTCAGAGCCATCAGTCCCGATACGATACAACACCAACAGTCCACCAGTAACAAGTGTGGCCTGAAGGCAGTACTTTTATAGCCGCTGAAACAACAAGTACCTAACCGAACCGAGCTGAACCGAACTTTCGCTTTTACCGTTCGCCGTGTGTGTGATTTTGGCCCGGTTACATACAGCTGTGCGTGTGCTCCGTGTGTGTACTCTGTGTGTGTGTGTTGTGTAGATGCAAATCAAAGCGCAGCACACCTGAAAAGTATGCTTTAAATGTTAACTATCGTGCGGGACATTGAAGTTGTGTATTCGAGACTCGTAACTCGTAACTCCGTACCACGCGCAACCTGTAACTCTGGAAAGTTTTTATTTGGTCGCTCGGTACATTTACATAAGTGAACTTTGGCATGCGCCCCACATGAAGCCGCTGTATATAATGACGATCCAGCAACGCCACTAAGGACGACGACGGTAACGGCGACGACTACGACTTCGTTTGCACTGAATAATTAATGCAATCAGGCAATTTGAACCCGTTTTAGTCGGAAGTTTTGGATGTGTGCCTGCGTTAGCACGGTTTCAAAGCATCTAAGTATAATAAGCGCTTTTTAAGACTCAAATGCAAGGCTCTCTCTCTCACAAATATAAACTAAAGATCAGACCAATCCAAACCAAACCAAAACCAGGAACTGAAACAGGGAAGGAAGGAAGGAAGAAAAACTCTATTTTTCGATACTATACTATATATACTACGCCACTAAACAGAATATACTGACCACACATATTCCAATCATAAATTAACGTGATAAAAATTCTTAGCTGCTGAAAGCCCATTTCAATTTTCGCATAGCCTCCACACCGCACAGGGGCACGGGGCATTAAACAGAGAGGGTGATCAAGAGAGAGGAGAGGAAGAGAGAGAGAGAGAATACTGTCTGCAGACCAAGCAAAAAATTACTAATAATTTTCACATTTAAACGACAACAAAGCAGACAAACAAACGTAGAAACATATGCTCAGAAATCAAGCAACCCATACAAATAAATATGTATATGTACGGGTGTACATCGCGTACGGGTGTTTAGCGGCGGCCATATGAGCAGACAGCTTGGCAAAATATATTTCGATTAAAATATAAACCAAATTGGACTGGACAGAGCTTTGACACGAAAACTAAATTGCCTGCCAAGTGTACCCGCCGTCGAAATTCACACGGAGAAAGCAGCAGAGATAGGAGCACCGAACGGGGGAGGAAGAAAGGGCCCCAAAAGGTTATCGGCGGCAGATAGCGCGGATCCACTGAAAGGTAAGTAAGAAATCAAAGTACAATACACAAATGTACACACGAGTATTCACATGGGAGGGTTGAATATAGAATAATGGATGGCCGATTGGATTTCATTACTAAATGCTTATTTACCTAAAAGAAATTAATTGTTACAAATTTATTAATATATTTATGTATATTTAATGAGATACTACCTGACCCGGCTATTGAATATATACATAAAGGATATACATATAGGGAATTCCTTTCGGATAATACACGCAGTTCCCCTGTACGTTCATCGGATTTAACTAATGGAAAAGTGCTTGCGGAAAGTGATTCAATTCGATAATCCAACTCTTCACACGATCCCACACCAGACACCGCATTTCTTGGCCACCTGATGGCACTCAGAAACAACATGTTAATACTGTTTTAGTTCTCACTCAGATGAGCAGAAAATGTGGGAAAAAAGACCGGAGATAAAAAAAACCAGAGGGATGGGATGGGATGTAAAAATACTGACCATGTCACAGAGTGCCATAAACAATTTTACAGCATTTTTGCTGTCATAAGATTAAATGTGCATAAACTGGTGGGGCAAGGAAACGGACAAACCACTGGATAAAGAAGCAAGGCAGCAGCGAGAGCTGGGCGATGGAGCAATGCGATGGTTGAGAGCAATAACTATAAAACAAGGGAACAACAGAAACAAAGCCTGCAAAAAAATGGCAGTACAGTTACAGAAACCGACTTTATGGAGGAAACAACACATACGAATACATGTATTGCACATACATACTCCTATGTATGTATTCATTCTGGGCTTCTTATTTAAAGTCTGGGCTCTAGCTGTGAGGGTGGTTGTGAGGACGATTGTTGCCATAAAGGTATGCACGAGGCAGTAGCCACCCAAGAGACAACACCATCCAATTACAAAAGTGAATATTTCGAGCCATCATGGCTTGACTTTCTCTCGCTTTTCCTGGTTTTTCTTTTTCCTCAGTGTGTGTCCCTGTATGTGTGACCTTAACATTTATTCCCTTATTCTATTTGTTTCATTTTGTGTTGTGACTTTTAAGTTTTTGCTGCCCCCGAAACAACATCTGCCTCTGCCTCTGTCTCTGTCTCAGCCTCTGACCTGATTTTGATTTCTTCTTTAGCCGCGTAGGCAACAGCTGAGGAAATTCCAAGTGAAAACATTCCATGGAGACGGACACCTAAGCGAAAATTCCTGGCATAGCTGCTCCCCAGAATAATGAGGCACGCGACCATGCCCACTCGAGCACGTTTTACATGAATTGTGGCTGCTGCTGCTGCCGATGGTGGCGTTGATTATGATGCCAGGGCTAAAATTGACACACACCTTGCTCCTAAATGAGACACGAAAACACAAAGCCCGAGAACATACATATTTTCATCGTTTAAACGTTTAGGCAGTGGCTGTCATTTTCGCATTATTCACGCTAAATCAACCAAAAGCCTCCCCTCTCAGATGGCTATCAGTTTCGTTTTGATGGGCGGGCAGCACCTCCTGACAGCCTACGCAAATTGTGATATTCGACTTCTGGTTCGCTTTGGCTCGGACAACGCCGTCAACAAGTGTCCGTCTCAATTTATGGACAGCTGTGTGAAATATAATTAGACACATATACGGTGGCTTTGTCCGTCAAACGGTGCGTACATCACATGCCTGACCTGACCCCACGCTACCTAAACCAATTTAGGCCCACACAGAGAGGCTTTCACCTGCCAGCCCTTGTCCAAAACTGACCAGCAAAAAGCACTTTGTCCCAGCCTTTTGTTCTGTGAATTTTTGGGCAATTTGTTTGCCCTGCCTGGGCCGTGAACCGCTCTTCTGTTTCCGGGCATGTGCCATTGTGCCATTGTGCCACAGAGAACAACAGCACGTCCTCACGGAACGTGTGGCGTGTGGCAATCACAATGCAGCTCAATAAAGGCGAAAATCTAATTTTTTATACCGACACAAGAGTCAAGAGTCGAGTCGAGAGCCTGAATGCTGAGATGAATATCAAAAGATATACCTTTTGATTGATTTGGTCTCACGCAGTCTCTGTGTCAGTACACAACCTGCATCCAGCTGCCAGCAGCCCCACAACTGTGAATTTTGATTAACTGGCAGTCTGGCGCTCTGGCAGCCAAAAGGAAATTGTGTGTGATATTCTTGTCACACTGTGCCCTGCCCCGCCAGCCTCTTTATCCTTACAAACAATAGCATTTTCATAGTAGACACTCTGACAACAGCGACACTGTAACGAGATATTCCCCGTGGTTTACACGGAAAATAAGGCCAACAAATGCCCGTCGTAGGGCGGAGCTGGAATATTTGATTACCTTTAATTCCATTCGTAGAGCCTTAGCAAGGAGAACCTCCTTTTGTAATTCGTATCCATAATACTTGAAAGTCTTGAAATTCAACAAAAAAAAAAATGAAAAAATCGCTGAAATCATAATATAATGAATGTTTAACTTATTAATCTTTTATGTTTACCATATATATAAAAAGAATTTATATAAACAATCCGTTAGACGATTTCGAATGTGTTTTTGTATACATATATGTATATATATATATATTTATCAATGAAGCGGGCTGGCTGGGCGGTTGATCGCAGTTCGATATGTTGGTAGTGCTGCGGAGTGGAACTTTCTTACATAAATAATTGCCCAACATATAGTAGAGCAAATATACCCCTGATAGAGTGGTGTGTGGCATGAAATAAAAGCAACAATACTAACAAGCACTGACGTTGCATAATTAACCTTTTGTCTTTGCATTTGTTTGCTGCTCTGTGCCGCAAATGGGATGCTGGCAGACGAGAAACGCCCAGCAGAAAAATTGCAAAGTTAATAAAGAATGTAGCCAACGCGTTTGGCTGCTGATGTGGCTGCTCTCCCGTTGCCCGTTGCCCGTTTCCCGTTTCCAGTTGGTAACGCTATTTGGGTTTAAACACATCATTAACTGCTTAAATAGCAACATTTCCGTGTTCATGTGGGAATGTGTCTGTGTGCGGGGCTCCGAGTGCGTTCATTATCACCTGTCCGTCCGGGACAGGCAGTCAGGCAGCGATACAGACAAAGGCGATATGATATTCTCACGGCAAGGCGGATGGGGGCTATTCAACCTCCCCCACGATACTGACAGCGCACAACGTATTCTTAAGTGCTTCATCTTGTCTGAATAACATTTGGGGCAGGACCTGGGCAGGAACAGAGGCATTTGCCTCATTTCCATTCCCCAGACGCCACCTCCTATTTGTGTCTCTCCTCAACCGCTCTACCGAAATGAGCTGGCACATTTATGGCATCCATTTTCGGGACGAGCAACTGGCATTTAGATCCCGTCCCCTCTGCCAGACTCCAGCTCTCGCTTTCCGCCTTCTTCTAGTCGCCTGGCCATACATTTCTAATGAGCTGTGTGCTCTCGAGCTGAAAGCTCACCCAAATGGTTTCCGTAAGCTTCAGGTTACCAATTTTCCTGCCAGAGTTGGAGGTAAAAATTCATATATACATATGCCTATTTCGGTATGTTTTCCTTCGGTTTCAGAGCACTGTCTGGCATTTTTATGTGTCTCTAGCACCAGCTCCGGACTCCTGAATTATGAACATGGCACCTTCGCTGGGCATGCGGCTGCAGCAGCTACTTCTAAAGTTGTAAATTAGTTTAGCAGAAACTCGAGACTTTGACATTAACGACTCATACACAATAGTTTGTGCAGTATGTTCAGCCACGATGAGTTTGGCCTCTGGCATTTCATTGTACAAAGTCCGCTTTTAATTAATTTTGATTTGGCCAACAAGCAGAGTATCTGTTTTGATATGCCAAACTCCAGCAGAGGGGGCAGCCAAAGGAATTCCAGCCAAACGTTGGCTCTGTCTATGATTAACAATTTATTGAAATGTTTCATCTGAGATTAAATTACTAACCAGTTTGCATTTTCCTTCCACTGAAATTGTTGGGTTGATTTAAGGCTAAATGTTTGTCTGTCTATCAATTGTCACAAATTTGTATTAATTTGTAGAATTTAGCCAGCTTGCTTTGATATTGCCAAACAATGAACTCTCGCCAAGTTGAGTTCGTTATGAAATTGCATTTGCCAGCACATAATTAGAAAATATTTCAGTGATTTTTTAGCTGTCAGCGGCCCCCCTCAAGGCCGTATCGATTCGACTGATGGCGAGAGCTTGTCGAGTGTTTCACCTTCGAGCTGATATCCGTTTCCTAGGAACGGTACGAAAACGTTTTCCCCCAATCCCCCCAACCCCAGCTGCCGCTCTCTGCTCCACTCAACTCGGCTGCCAGTTGACAAAATTTCATGCTTTCAATTGAATTGCCTCCATTTGGGTTCTTATCGGCTCAAATTTTACTTTTCATAACTGCGCGATTTTCTCCGAAATCTGTATTTTTCTACACTCGAAAAAATGTACCAACAGACATGCAGATATTTGATTTGCTAAAGCATACTTTTTTTTAAAGGTAGCGTGTCTTTTTTTGTAGCTGAAACATCAGGCCATTGAACTGTCAAAAATGTTCAGATTTTTGTCTCGGTGCATGGGGCATTATGTTACTTTGAGTTGTAACTGCTGCTACAGTCGTTAGACTGGGCGCGCGGTGCTCGACAATAATTTGCAACGAATATTTCAAAATGCCAGCCGCAGCAATGGAATGAATGCCAACGAGAAATGGCGAACTGAAAAGTTCAGTTTCTTGCCGCAGCAAGGCTCAAATTTCTTGGCCTAGTTCTAGGGCAAGCGGAGCAAAGCCCTGGCTCGACTTGACTCTTGAGCCATTTGCCGTCAGTCAGGGCCAGCGCCTGAAAGCGGCAATGATTGATGGACTAATGCCTCAATTTGCCTGTCGCTGTTTGCCCCCTCCGCTGTTTACACTGGGAATCCGTTCGGATCTGTTGTTTATAGAGCGGCTATTCGGTAAACAATGTGTACATTTATTTTTTAATGTGCTAACCATGAAAATGGATTAAATTTATTTGGAATTCTGTTTGATTTATTTGATTTATGCCTGGCCATAGAACATAAAGGGAAAACCGAAAAAGCGAAACGTACATAGAATCGAATCCTAAATCAATTCGATACAATTCGATAAACAAGTTTTGTTATATATCATTTGTCTTGAAATTGCGCTTTGGATGAACCGGATATGGCGTCAGACATGCCCACCCATCACCCTGCTATTTGCCACTCTACTCTTCTTTCTTAGAAGCCCCGCCCATCTCAAAAATTGATTGCACAAAAAGTCTCGCACTTTTTTAAGCGCAATGAGGCATGTATTAAATCGTTTTTCCGCTTCAGAAAATTGCCACAGAACACCAAAACTAAAGTGGATAATTAGGCAAATGTCAGTCAGGGTAAGTAAAGGCCAAGACTGCATCCTGCAGTCCCCTGCAACCACCTTAAACTCTTTAGCAACACTGGAACCCAACGCCCTCCTCTGATAATAGTTTCTCAGAGGTAATGAAGCCTCTGATGCACAGCTGGCTTTATATAAAAAATTGAAGGTACGCCATCAAAGGAAAATGATTACAAAAAACGACCTTATGTATGAGTGAGCTCAATGCGAATAGTGTGAATTGAATGCCAGCATACTGGGACACCTTTAACAACACCTTTACCCATGGCTCCAATACCACACCCTTCCCTTCTGCTGGGAAGCTGAAAAAAAATTAACAAAGTGCTCTAATCGAGCCAAGGGGCAATTACTACTGCATCCGGAGACCTGTCTCTTCCTCCTTCTCCTTCACCTCTGCTCCCCAGCTCCAGTCTCACAGAAGCTCAAGCATCGTGTTGACGCACATTGACGTTGCCTCTCAAAGGCTGTCGTTGTCGCTGCAAATGTCACGTCGCTCTGTCGCGTGGTAATTTGCAATGCAGAAACAACATCAAGTGGCAGACTCTGGCAGGCGGCGGTGCTTCACCCTGTGGCCTTGCTCGGGCATGTAAATAGACAGAGCTGATTTCCATATTCATATTTAGTTTCTGCTGCCTGAGATGTGATTGAAAATTCCGCCGTGGGATGCCCCCACACAAGTGATTCCCCAGTACCAATCTGTTATCTGTAGCGCTGACTTTTGGCCGTCATTCGTTCGGCTGCTTATCAATAAAGCTGAAACAAAAGTCCCCAATCGGCGGCACGCTTTATATATATGTACGTCTCCGGGTATAAAAGCTGCTTCAGATTACCACTCAGCAGATCAATCCATTCACGACACTCAACAAAGATGCAATTGAATATGGGAGCTGTTTTTCTGGCGATGCTGGGTCTGCTTGCTGCTGGGCCACTCACGCCTACCGAGGCACGTCATCGGCAGGGACCCATCTTCGATACGAGGCCGTCGCCCTTCAATCCGAATCCACCCAGGGGAGGACCCATTTAAGGGACGACCGTTCTGCTGCTGCTGCTGCCGCTGCTGTCGTTAACACATTTGATTAATTTAATGCAATTAAAGAAAACTGAACATCAAAGGCATGAAAATGAGTAACTAAATTACACCCATTTTAAATGGCAAAGGGGAGAGGCTCTGTGGGAATAGACCTGACCTTCCCTTCCACTTCATCTAGGAGCAGAATGCAAATTAGCAAAAATTTCCAGTTGCTGCACAATTTTCCAAGTCTCTTGCGGCTTCTCACTTCTCACTCTGAGAACTTTGCCAGGAGCAACTTCTTCAGTTCAGATGGGAACCAAGACCGATGTACTGCATTTAGTGTAAATTTGAGAGCTATTCAACGGATTTTAGTCAACATTTCTGAGTATTAAATAATAAATACAGTAGGAGAATGGTGCATGGTGCTGCTTCAGTGCGAAGGGTCAATAGCTACTGTATTTTCATCCACTTTGCTGTGTTATCAAACAAAAGCAGCACCATTCAGCATACGACCTTAGATCCTAAGCTGCTCTCTGGCCACAGTTTCGATCAGCTTATTGCACGCTGGTCAGCTAAAAGTGCAATATTCACTGTATGGTCATACAGTGTCCATTCCTCCTTCACCCAGAGACAATGCAGCAGACACGCATAGGCCCTGTCGCTAACAAAAGAATGTCTGCTGGAGTTGCAGGAGTTGCACAGGAGCAACTTAAGTTCTGAGGTGAACCAAGACCGAGGTACTGCTTTTAGTATAAATTTAAGAGCTATTCAACGGATTTTAGTCAAAATTTCGGACTATTAAAAAATAATTCTAAATGTGATTGGAATATCAGCATACAGGGACCGATATCCGCTGGCCAGTGATTGAGTATAAATACAAGCCATCAAATGATGCCAGCAAGCTAGTTTCAAATCACCCTACAGTGCTATGGGCAAAACAAGCTCTTTAAAAAAATGTTGGTATTATGTTGGTTTTGTTATTAGTTTATAGAAAACCAATTACCTCATTGGGAAATAAAACGAATAGGATAACATTTGCGAAAAACCACCGACTAGAGAAGTTACAAGGCATAAAATATCAGGTAGCGGCTGTTTTTTGTCACTAGTCTTAACTATTTTTTGTGGGCTTAAATTGAGCTGAAATTTTATATTAATAATTATATCAAAAAAATCAATCCGATCAAAGCGATATATGGTATAGCTGCCATGCAACCATGGTCAAAATATCGTATTTTTTTAATTTTGACTTCAAGTCTGCACCCGTAAACGTATTCCAATCGGACTAAAACTTTTTATTTTATTGTTTCATAAACAAAGGAACATTTTAAGGCCCTGAGACCTTTGAAAATCAGAGTTTTTAAAAAAAAAAAGCGCTTCCCCCAATTGATATATATACTCGTACGAGTAGATGCGAATAAAATTGAGTACGCGCAAACATTTCAATGAGTTTCACACACAAAAACGACAATTTTTTCCTCACGCTCTGCTTTTCTATTTTCAGATGCGATCCAAGAAAAGCGCAAAGAAAAACACTTGCAAAAATTAGCAGCAACGCCGGCAGTGGCTGTGGCTGTGGCAGTGGCTGTAGCAGCAGCTGACGGACACCGGCAGCGGTCGGGAGGAGGCCGTGCATCTATAAATAGGGGTCGAACACTTTGTGCGCGTGACAGCTGTGAAAGCGGCAGGGGCTGGCGGCTGAGGCAATGCCAGCCAAAGCGATGGCAACTATGACGTCATTGGCTGGATAAGTGATTGCGTTCGGCAACGTCACGGATGCGGTATAAACTGGTCCGGCCAGGCCAATAAACCACATATCGCATATACACCCCGCGTCCCCGCGTATATGTACATGGACCTGGCATAATGAGAGCGCCAAACAAATGGGAAGAAAACGAATGCCAAGCAGCGGCATCATCTGAAGCAGCAACCGCAGCAATAGTGGCAATAGCAATAGCAACATGCAAAGAGGCAGCCAGAGCAGCAGCATCAGCAGCGCAGCAGGAGCATCAATAACAGTAGCATCAGCAGCAGAGCAGCCATGAGAATCGCGAGAAAGCACAGCAAGAAGAAGGAGAGTCGTGGCGAAAAAGACAAAAGTTGCAAAAATATTTCAGTGCTCACAGCTGCTCTAGAATCAGTTTAAATTCATCGTCGATCGGCAGCAACGCAACGAGTGCTGTGGTTCACAGTTCCACAAAATCGCGCGCTTCTCCAATCTGTATCGGTGTGTGTTTATTTGTGCGCGTGTGTGTGTGTGTGTTTGTGTGTGTGTGTGAGTGTGAACAGAGGAAACGGAAGTGAAAGTTGAATTGACAGTGTGTACACAACTACCACCACAACCAGCAGCAGCAGCAGCAGCAAGAGCAGCTGAAACGACTCCAACGAACATTCAACGACACTAAACCCCAGCATTAAATTACCAATAAAATCAAGCCAAACGGCTGCAGAAAAACTGTGCGTAAAGTGTTAGCTTTAAAGAACCAAGCAGCTACCTTACTTGTGCTAAATTCAATTCTTAAACTGAACAGAACACGGAAATGCCGACCAAAGAACATCAAACCCATGCAATTGTGATGTTTTGAGCATTAACGGTGAGTGAACATTTTTGAAATTTAATTTTAATTAACCGCATCTAAAATTCGGTTCTGAGTTAAAGTTAAAGTGCAACTAAATGTACAACAGATCAGCTTCAGTGAGAATTTCAGAGATGAATTCATCAGAGCTCTTTCTCTCGCTCAAACGAGTGTTATACGGGGACGTCTAGGAAGCGTATTTCTGAAAAAATGGAGCCTCTGTGTATGCACCTCGTGCAATAGCAAGTACATATTGTTACGGTGGCGCAAGATTTCTTCCGAAAAGTGTTAAAGGCGAAATGTTTTATGTAGAAGCAGCTTCATGGCATATTTATATGGTGCCACGTTGTGCAAAGGCATTTCTTGCTGGTGCGTGTTTTTGCCAGCCCCAGCGAATGTTTTCCCCATAGATTGGACTTACTCTTTTCGGCAGCTTTGTTTTCCCTGTCTGGCACGCCTCTTTATACCTTCCCTGGGCATTAGTATGTATCTAATGCTACCTGTATCATTGTCCGTGTAGCTTAATGTATATATAGCTGCTTATCTGTTCCTTTGCATGGGAATTATGGTGAATTATGTGTATGACGGGTGCATTGTTAGGCCCGTTACACTGATGGGTCTTGGCAGGAGGGCATAATTGCTGTCTGAAATTGATTGAGCCCATTTACCCCGAGGAATTCTAGAAAATAAATTACTTTTAGCTGCTTAAAGAAGCTGCTTTGCCTCTGCTTTCATTCGAAGTAAATTGCAACATGACCTTGTAGCTTGAACTGGGTCTTGTCCCCAGGGTTTTTCTCGTTCCTCTTCCTCAGAGTTCAGCATTTGTTTTCTTTTGCTAGTCGCCAAGAATTTGGTTAATTTGCAGTCTCATAGCATGCACAGAATAACTCGACATACAGCCATGCCATGAATTCGTTATATGTATGTCTTTACATTTCTATATCTGTAACTATGTGTAATGTCAGGAACTTTTGCATTTGGGTGCCGCTGGGGCAGCATCATTATCATCATCATCGTCATCGTCGTCGTCGTAGTCGTAGTCGTCGGCTTCTTCTGGGCCGCACTGCCATGCAATTATGTCTATGTCTATGTCCGAGAGCATCGCATCCCCTGGCACAGCGTCGTTGGGACGCCTTGACAATGCACTTGAGTCAAGTTTGCTTCCTCTACTCGGATCTGCTCCGATCCGTGCGCGTGCTCTCTATCTCTCTCTCCTGGGCTGCTGCTTGCCAAAATGTATGGCAGGGTAGAGGGTAGGGGTAGAGGGTAGAGGTAGCTCTCTTATTTATTTATAAAATTTTGTTTGCTGCCAGTTTCCTCATGCCCCTTATGCACAATACACCTTGGCCTTCTTGAGGGCACGCCCGTGAATGATAAGCGGGGCACACAGATTATTGGAGTATATTAGATACGTGTCCATGAATGTAACAGCCGAAAGGAAGCTCAATAGCCGAGTAGTTATCATATATAGTCTCAGAGACTATAAAACCTGAATTTTGTATGCAACTTCCTCTAAAATCACTTTGAAACAATTCTGCCGAAAATCGGAGTCATTCATGGAATATTATTGTGTAGTACATAATATGATAATTGTGAAAAGCTTAACTTGGCTGTTGATGCTGATAAAGATATTAATTATGTGCACATATTTAACGAATAATGCTGTAAGTGATTTTACTTTATGTAAAAGACGCTGTCTATTGTCAGTGGCGATGCATTTGCAAACATTCCATTCACTTCGTTTTCCTTTTTTCCTATTCTTTCCTTTCTTTACGGCTTTGCTGCCCTGGGAGAAATACCTTTCAAAATGCCATTCACATTCCCGAAAAATCTCATCCATCCGCCCTCTGCTTCTTTAATGCTTTTGCAACTTTTGCAACTTTAACTTCGTCCCCCAATTCGCGCCATTGTATGGAAAAACTTTCACTTTTGCTTCTCCTCTGCACACTCACTTGTTCTCCGTACCGTACCACCACCGTCTCCGTCCCCGTTTCCTTTCTGGCCTGGTTTGATTGATCAATGTTGACAGATTTAACGAGCTGGTAAAGTGCAGCAAAACAATTCAATTATCTGCGTGTGTACGGAAAGTGTGTGCATCTGGGTGGGTGTGGGAGGAAATTTGTGGAAGGTGGAGCAGGAAAGGCCTGGGGAGAGGCGAATGGAAAGGAAATATTTGCGTACAGCGTCAGATAGTGCCACCATCCCATGCCATCACATCCCATCTTTCCTCGTCTTCGCTTTTCAACCTTCAGAACCAGGTTGCCTCGGAATTAAATATGGGGGAATTATTCATGTGCCACACGGATCGCTTGCTCCGTTTTCCACCTCTCCCTCTCTTTCTTCCTCGCACTTGCTCTGTCTCTCTGTGGCAGCTAATAAATAATTCACATTGAATTAAATTGCGTGATTTCTTTTCGACTCAAATCGCCTTGCCACAAACACAAAATGTAGCCACCTATTTATGAAATGCAATTTCTGTGCTGGGCTCGGTTTTCCTCGTGGTTCTCATTCTCGTCATACCCCTCCCTCCACGCTCTTTCTCTGGTTAGTTTTCTTTTCGGTTTTTCTTCACGGTTTTTCTCGCATCCACACACGCAAGGCCGCCCTGCTCTGCCTTCTCACAATATATGAATTTAATCTCGACCGATTTCCCCGTGCCGTTGTTAGCGTAATGCGATTTTAATAACGGCCAAGGCATCTACACATAGTCGGCCGTTCCCCGAGGGTGAATTAGATCGGTCCAATATCAATTATTTATCAATTATGCAAATTTTCCACCTAAAATGCAACAGGAAAATACACACGCGCTTATGTGAAGATAGACCCTAAAACACAAATTGGTAGGAGAAGGAAAAAATACTTATGGCATTGGGTTGGGCTCTGATTTTGCATTTGAGCATTATATTCTCACTAATAAAATATTATGTTAGTTCCAGGTAGTACAGAACATTGAAAACTGTAAATAATATTTCATTCTATATATTTTTTTAACTCCTATATTTTACGTGGGCATTTTGAAGTAGATTTCCAGAAGTAATTTAAGCCATAGGAGCCATGCACAATTATATTTGGGAAGATAATCCTTTTGAAATTTATTTGTGAACTATATTTATATATGTTCTATATTTTCCGGAGCGGAGCTAAGAATACTCATTCCATTCAAAACTCATTTAATTTATTACCCAAATATAAATTCAGTCTTTATAGTCCTCTCAACAGCTGTTTCTCTTGGTCCGAGATGAGCTTAGCAAATAAGCTGCTTAAAATTTTACTGAGCGAGTTCTCAATAAATTAAATTACACAAGCACATTTTGTGAAGGGGTGGGGGGCGGAAGCTCGGAGAGCAATAATTTCTCATCATGTTGACTCTGATGCGATAATTAAGGCGGCGGCGTGCAGTCATCGGTTATCGTAAATATTTAATGGAAATTTAATTGATATGGCTCATCAATTGGCCAGTAAAATCGCATAACAATAAGCCGTGCATGTGGCAAGCCTGTTAGCCCACCCACACAAGAGGCTACAACACGCACCACACGCACTCGGCCAAAAGGGGGCACGCTGTAGGGTGAAACTTTGAGCTACGGCTGTCATTGGCAGCTCTAGTTGATTTGTGCTCGGGCTCGCTGCCATTAAATGATCAATTATAGGTGGACCAGGCTAGGACCTGAAGTGGAACAGGAACTACGTGAGACACAAGGAAGAGGCTAACATTGACTGGTCATTTTGGGCAGAGAGTACGAGTGCAATGAGGAAAAGCCAAAGTTTGTTGTGTAGGCAGCAAGAAGTTTCACGCGTGTCCTGGGTCCTGGGGCAGATGGCAAAAAGCTACTCCAAACGCAAAACGAAACAATTTAATGAGCAAAAATACTCGCATGAGCGACTGAGCGACCACAGAGTAAAATATTTTTAATGATGCTCTGCAGCGGTTTTGTGGGTAAACTTTTGGAAATGTGTTGTTCGAAAATTAAAAGTCGAGCATTTAATCTAATAAATTTTCGTTTTCCTCCCGTTGCAGAAATCTTCAGTCTTCGAGCATCGGAATCATGCAGCGATCTAAATGACAGCACGAACCTTAAAATAAATCAAATTCGAACTCTCTTTGTGATAGCCCCAGACTGTGGAAAGTACGTTACGTTATCTTAGCCTCTAGTTAGTTACTATTCTATATATGATTTTTTTTCGGCGACTCTCGCTACTGAGAGAACTCACAAGTGGGCAGAATAACTGAGGAAACCCCCAACAAAAGACAGGACAAGTCAAACCAAACCCTAACTAAAACCGGAACGAACTTTTCGAAACTGAATCCCCCCGCCGAGTGTTATGTTTTCTGAACCCAACACGATCCCAATACGATCCGAGAACTAGCTGAGATATACTTAGCGCAGTGTCACCATGTCACATGGGGGCCGTAAGGAATGTACGTAATATATCCCGCCGATGAGCTCATCTTGATGACATATGGTTTCTTTGCGCCACGTGTGAAACCGCGACCCTCACTCGACTGCCTCCGAGAGCCGCTCGTCCCTATCGAGTACCCAGAGAGAGGCGCCACTACAACCACAACCACAGCCGCAACCAAAAACTCAACCGCTGCGACAACCAGCAGCAGCAGAACCACCGCCTTCACCCCCACTCCAGTCCAGTATCAGTTTGAGTTTCGTGCTCCCAGTCCATCCGTAGGCATCCAGCCGTCACCACCGGTTCACACTAGCTTTTTCAGCTTTGAGGAGCAACCAGCCCCGGTCCAGGGTCCCCCGCAGTCACAAAGCCTGCCGCCGACGCCCACCCGTCGCACATCGCGCTCCTCGCTGACCCACTCGAATCACAGCCACAGCTCCGGCAAGCGGGGCAGCGTGAGGAGCGGACGCCTGCCGCCTGCGTCCATGTATAATGATGCCAGCCAGATGCAGGGGAACAGCGCCACTGGACCAGGACGAGCACCATTCCAGCGCAGCAGCGCAGCCTATGACGAGGAGGCGGGAGCCCTTGGCGGCGGCCTAGACTATGCCGCTGGTCAGCTGGTCAGCCGGTCGCGAAGTCCCAGCATCTTCCTGGAACCACCCACACCAGATCCCACACATGCCCACTTCGGACCAGGCTGGGGCCGGCCCATGTCGCCGATGGATCTGCCGCCCGAGAAGTCGGTGCCAAGCATCGGCGTGGGATCTGGCACCAGTGCCGGTAGGTCTCCCACGAGCAAGTCCCGGCTGCGACCCAAGCTCCACCTGCCCTTGGGTCGACTCGGTCGCTCCACATCGTCGGACACACGGGAGAGCAACCGATTGCGTGAGGACGTTCACGTGCATGTGGAGAACCCGGTGTTCAGCAGCGAGAACCTGCGCCAGAACAACTTCGATGCATTCTTCGAGGCCCGCGAGCCCGTCATTAAGCTCCAGCCGCGCACCCCCAACACGGCGCCAGCTGAGGGGGGCCGTGGCTACTCGCCACCACTGGAGGGCCGCAGGGGTGTCTACGACTCGCCCCGGACGAGGAGTCCAGCTGGAAAGGACGGTGGTGGCGGTGGCCTCTTTGCCCGTTCGCCGCGTGAGGATCGCGATCGAATGGCCAACGCTCGTTCTCGCAGTGCGGATCAGTACGATGGGGCAGCAGCAGGGGGAACGGGACTGGGACCGGGACCGGGACCAGGACCGGGACAGGGTGCGGGTGCTGTGGAAAGTGGATCCAAATCTGCGGGCGGTGGTGGCGGTGGTTCGGCCGGAGCGCACTCCAAAGGTGACAGGTGCCTTCCAAGTCTACTCTTGCACCCGCTAATCGAATCGTTTACAGTTGATTGCTGCGCCTCGCGCGTCTCCTAGTGCATTATTGAACGCCATGCAACATTCCACATGCCACATGCCACATGCCACATACCACATAACATACCACAACATCAAAAGCCAACATTAAATGTGCTGCAAGTTTCAGCTGCAGTTTGAGTTGCGTTATCGTTATGAGTTTTAATTGAAATTCCAGCATTTGCCTGGCGTATCCTTGGACTGATTTGCTAAGGGGATAAAGGCTGATAGTGGGTGCTTAAAGTCCGAAAGCTTCAAAAGGTCAGAGAATTACTTAAGCCAATGTCCGATCAAATAAAATTGGTGGTGCCTGCTTATAGTTTTTACCTTACAAAAGAGGCAGAGTTATACTTATCAGGCTCGAATGACCCAATTTGCTTTGCGTTTCGACGAGATCCGTTTGAAATTCCAATTTGGGTTACAATCGTTAAACTAAAATATTAAATATAAATAAATATAGCCCCCTCGTACGTGAAAGAATACTACGATCCGATGGTATTAAATGCCTTAGTTTATATTTACTAGGGAATAGTCAATGCTCCGATTACCCTCTGATACTGGGAAAAGCATTCCACGCTTCATTGAATTGCCAGTTAATCCAAGGATACGCCTGCTTTGGCCTGGCCAGAGTTAGCTTTTCAGTCCTGTTCTTGTTCTGTCCTCGCTTGGTTAACTTTTCCGTACTAAACACACAGATGAGGGTGGTGAACTTAAGGCGTTTAAGGTGCTTGCCTTCCGCCTGCCACCCTCGATCCGTCCACTGAGCTTAAAGGTGCTCTCGCATGCAGAAGTGGGTTACATACGTACGTACATACTTTCTTATGGAGCTAGAAGTGCAACTGCAAATGGAAGTGAATCGCGTGCCTCTGGCGCATTCGCTAAATGCAAGCACGCACATAATTTCTTCCCAAGGAGCAGCAGGAGGAGAAGGAGGAGCAGCAGTGAGAGCACATCCTGCTGTGACTGTCGTCCCGGAATGAATGTCAGCTTAGCAGCGCGTGAAGTGTAATCAACAACAGCGATAACGACGACAACGGCAACGGCTGTGCACATCCTTGCAGCTGGCACGTGAGTGTGGGGCGGACCCATCTGCCAGCCCCACCCACTGGAATTCATTTAAAAGTTCACAGCACGGAAAATTTGATGACCAGCGGCTAAGTAAATCAACAGCAGCAGCAACAGGGCTACGTGATTGTTGGTGTGGCCAACTTCTGGCAATCTCAGACACACCTCGTTTATTTCGTTTCAAATTTGACAAGGATAAAAGGATACGACAGCCAAACCCTCTACCAGGCGCTCTCGTTTTCTGCACTGCATCTGTCCTTTAATAGTGTCTATAGGATACATACGAGCGTACGTGGTTTCAAGCTATATTCTTCGTTGTCTCCCGTTCCATTCCATCTGCATCTGCAGCTGCAGCTACAGCTCGGCCCGTGCATATTTCATGTAAACTGTAATTGAGATGGTGCGAGTGTGGGCCAGAGCACACACCCACTAATAGAACGGAACAGACTCAAACAGATAGACAGGCTGACAGCAAACATTTTAGACACTTGGACAGACTGGACTCGATGGATGGGCACGGGCCCCCGGGTCTTTTTATCCTCATATAGAGTATATGGGTACGAGTACGAGTACTGGTATGAAATTGTAGCTGTATGGCCCGAAACAAAATCTCGTCTCTGAGAGCGCGGCAATGAAATTACGCTTCATTTATTGATTGAATTTTAAATGAAACGACTCCGTTCGGAGCCGACACCAACACCGACCCAGACCCCTACCCCTACCCTACCCTGACCACGACTTTGACTTTGGAACAGCCGAACAAACCTATTTCCCCTCTTGTTGACTCTGGTAATGGGACTCAGAGTCAGTTTTCGGCACTCGAAATTTTCGCTTTCGGTCCCGAAAAACAAAAATAGAATGAACAGCAAAGTACTCGCGGCTAAGGGCTTGGCCCGGCCATGGAAGACAGCCAAGGAAAAAGGCTGCCTGCGTTCATTATTTATGCATAAATATGTACGTACAGAAGGCAGTGCGATGTGTTTGATTCGCAGCATAGCCGAAATAATTCCCGACATTGCTTCATTGACGGATACTTGATTCCGGTTATTCCGCTAGAAAACAAATCACATTTCGTTGGGATTCCCCTCCCCTCCCATTTGTTTGCATTCAATTTGGTTTGTTTTGTTTGAATTTTCTTGTATTCTGTTTGTTCACACAATTTTATTGATTGCCTGGTTTTTTGAGTTGATTAATTTTTTTGGTTCCATTGAAAATATGCCCAACTATTGTCCAAACTAATGAACATTTTGTTTTTTTTTTGTATCGTCTTGCCAACGTCTCACGTACAACGTTCAACGTGCTCGCAGATTCTTCGGTAAAATCTTCAAGTGGTCGAAGAAATCGTAAGTTCTTTGGGTGGAGGGGGCCACGCGGTGGTTCCCTTAGCCCCCGGGCCGGCGGCAGCATGGCGTCTTACAACGGCGTGCTCAAGGACTACAGCCACAGCAGCTTGAACGAGGCTTTCAAGTCCCAGAATAGTGTCAACTTTAAGTTAATTAAAACAGGTGAGCAAAGCCAATCCATTGTGTGTGATACTCATTCTCATGTCGTACGAGTAGGTACAAGTTTGTATGTTGTGTGATGTGTGTTGTGTTTGTGTTTCCCCTAGTCAAGTCATATCCAATTCGCGTTGCCAGTGACATTCATGCCACAGGAGACGACACGCCATGCCGCAGCCTAACACGCACAGCAGGTGGGACCAAAATCAAGCGTGTAGTGCCCGTGGGCCAGGGATGAGAAGGGCGAACGTAACCAGGGATAAGTTTCAGCTTTGGCTGGCACCTGAAAAAGCATGCGAGGAAATTTCTCGACAAGAAAATAAAACAATTTATGTTGGAGCATTTAATTTGATAAGTTTTCCGTCGGCTATTGTCGCTTTCAGGGCTTATTGATTTTCATTGCCAATTGTCTTTGGCTTCCCATCTGATGGAGACATAAATCTGTGCGGCTCCTGCAAGCACTCGTACGTGTGTCCCAGCTACAACTAAAGCCTCATAAATTTTCCTTTTTATCTTAGATCTTGTTTGCACACAAGAAAACACACACCTACTCGAACGATATGTCCCGGCGGACAATCTTCGGCACAGATGCAACTTTTTGGCATAACTTTGACTCTGAATTACGATGTTGTCACAGAAAGTTGTCCCAGCGGGAGACACCGTCTCCATCTCTATTCCCATCTCCGTCACTCGCATAGTTCAACCGAAAACTGGGATTGGATATGACAAGTTTTTAATAAAATTTCTGATCCACTTTGGGTTCAAAGTCAGGCACACGGGCAGAAAAGATTTTATCGATTTAAGTGGAGTTGTGATGAGTGGACTTCAAAGGGACAAACCCAAGGGCTACCATCGTGTATCTGGGAGTCAATAAAAACGGTGCCCAATAAACTGACAAGTCAAGAAGTTAAAAGCCAAGTCAGGGAGAAATGCATATTCAGAGCTACATATGCATATTGGAGCAATCGTAAATATGATGGATTATCCAGCTTTTATGTGAAGGCATGCTCGCCTTTTGCCACTTTATGAGCTTTCCGAATCAACATTGTAGGGTTAGAACACACTTGCATTGCTGTCAGCACAAAGTAAGTGAAATGGCAATGGAATGTCCTACTGCTGGAGATACGAGGACCAGAAGTTCTCAAATCTCAAAGCTAGCCCTTTGAACCATCCCACAGGAGGCAGTCTTGAATCCCGCTCTGTTATTGCTTTCCATCTCAAATGAATTTTTTGTTTCCGGGCCATAAACTGCAATTTTTGGAATTTCATCTCGGCATGGCTTCCAGGGAATTTAATTGAATGCCAAGGAAAACCTGAAAGTTTATCAAATTACACTATGTTCCCATTACAGTTTCCGATTTCAACGAAACACTTTCCCAATTGTATGAGGAACACGCAACTGCCCTACAAACTCTAGTGTCCAATTATCGCAAAAAGAATGCTGAGCTACGCAAAGAGAGGTAAGTTTGGGTCGCGCTGTTTCTCCAATTTTCGAATCATTTTGATGTGAACCGGGGAGTGGGGTGCAGACCCGCCTGCCACTTGGCCATATTTCAGGCATGGGAAACATTCCTGCAGGAGGCCGAGACCGATTCGCAGGCCTGCAACGATGTGGCCAGTGTCCTCTCCCGACAGGTAAGTGCTTGAGTCGAAAGGGTCGAAATAGTCTATTTATGGGCACAAAGCCTACAAGCCCACAGTGCTAATGGAAAAATCATGTCTCTGTGAAATATGCAGTTGCCTTGGACGATAATAAAACAGAAATGCATTCGAGTCCAATTATTTTTTGCAATTATGCCATTTATTCTATTGATTGGATATCCTTTGCATCTATGAACACGCCACTGAGAGAATCAGTAAACGCATTTAGTTTTTCATCCAGTAAACCAATGCAGAATTGTAATATTTATGTAAATTTGATTTCTGTATAAACTTAACACAGATTTACCTAAAAACCCTTTTTTTTTTTATTCGGTTATTGGAATAATACATACAATAATAATTATATTCATATAGAATACCGCATCGATCCGATGAGCCAACCACCAAGCAAATTACCAATTTGCATCATAAAAAGCTGTCTCTAATTATGGTTAATTAGGGGCCGTACCCGCTGAGGGACCTTGGGAAAAAGACATGTGTAATTGGAGTGCCGAATAATGTTAATTTTTCTCTTTGTTTGCTTTGTTTTCGCGGTCGTGGGTTGTTTTTATGCTGGCTTTGGCTTTTGCATTTAAAATTTATTTTTCACGATGACTTGCCATACACCTACGTACATTCAAAAACGTTGTTAATTTCCATTCCAAACAATTCCATGCAGGTGTCGCGACCAATGCTGGATAAATCCTTTCATCGAAAAGTTCAAAGCCGTAAAATATTTACACACAGGGAGTCTTTTGAGACTATTATCGCAAAGACTGAAGAGAAGCTGTCAAAGGTGAGTGAATTGGTAATTTTTCCAATTAGGCGATACGCCTTGAGAGTGCCTATTTTTAGTCCTTGGAAAAGGCTTTGCCATAAGGCTTAAGTTCGCTTTAAGGTTGTGTTTCAGGCCAACATTACGCATACTCAATTTCGGCATTTTCAAAGAGCCCTTATTGCGTTTCGTCTGCATTCTATTTAGCATTCTGCATTCTTGTTCGAAATGTGTCCCAGCCCACTCTGATTTTATCTTCCAGTGCCGGATGGACTACAAGCAGTGCCACATGGCCCATCGACAGAACCCCAGCCAGCACTCGCTCACCGAATACATTGACGCACACAATGCGTACGTGCAGCAGCTGCATGCCACGAATGGCATGCTGGAGGCCTACCACGGCGACACCCTGCCACACCTAATGCAGGAGCTGGAGGAGATACACAATGACCTGTCCGGCATTGTTTCCGATTCGTTGCTGCAGGGAGCCGATGTAATTGCCAGCAAGGTGAGTGTGAGAGCGGGTAGCTGGAGGTGTAGTGATTTATGGCTGCAGCAGGTGGTTGCAGCTGCTGCTGCAGTTGATGGGGATGGTGCTGGTAATTGTGCCTGGCACCTGAAATGTTGGGTAATTTTTGTGACGACTTTTGTTTCCTGGGAAATAATTTGTGCACTATTATAATAATTACCCAGAGTCGTAATTTTCCATAGTAATTTGCCTAATGGTTAGAGCAGTGCGGGGCAGAGCAGGGGAGTGTCGGCCACAGGCCACAGGATAAAGCTCCTGCGTAAGTTGCGTGTGGGGAGTCGTAGTTGTTTGGGGTCTACCACTGTCATATTTACATATATTATAACATGTTATCGCTACCATTCGTCCAGGCCAGCGACCAGGCCAAGCGGTACATCAGCCTGACCAACCAGTGCAGTGCGGTCTCGCCGCCGCAGGATCTGGCCAACTTTGTGCGCCTCCTGGCCCAGCCATCGCAGGCCCAGAAGGTTCCCCGGCGGCCCTTTGCTCCACCCCAAGGCGAGCCAGCCGAGGAGACGGGTGACCATAATGTGAGTAAAATGCGAACAACTTGTCTGCGGCATGCGGCTGATATGGCGTGAGTGTGTGTTACAGGAGATGACACCCAACTTGCGGAACGAGCTCGTCTTTGACCGCCACTCCACGCTGTCGCAGCGCTCGGCCCTGGAGTCACTGAAGCGTGAGGCCATAGAATTGGAATTGCAGATACGTCAGCTGCAGGTGAGCCCAACATTAAGACGATTCTCCCACATCCCCCCCCCTCCAAATAGATAGATGGCTAATGTGTGTGTGTTTTTATTCGTTGCTCATCTTTTGCGAGATAGGACGCCATCGAGGCACTGAATCGGACACAGACTCGCGGCATTGAGGGGCAGCTTTACAACAAGGTCAACGAGCTGCAGGAGGATTTATCCATGAAGAAGTTTGACTTGCGCGCCAAGCAAATTCATTTGGCGGCCATACGGGCTCAGGTGAGTGGCCTGATTCCTTAATTACCAATGAATTAAAAAAAAAAGAATCAGTTCGGTTCAGAACCGTCTTTTTGAAACTGCAAAGTAATAAAATATGTCAAATGTAATGTCAAATGTAAGTTTCTGTATTTGAAAAGCTTATAAAAGCTTTAAAGCTTTCAAAGATTTGAAAAAGTCTTTAAAGTCTTTGAAAAAAGCTCGTGTGGAAAGCTATTTCTGGCAGACGGTTTTCAATGATGTGGCAAGGCTGCCGCCATCTGCCATTTTGTTGAACCTGTTGCTCGAACTCTCGACGTTTGCCCTTGGCGCTTGCACGCCTTCAAGTACACATGAACTGGAGCTCGTATGTGGGTCAAACAGCTGACTGGCTCTGTGACACTCGTGCCCTGCGCATGTGACCAAACCGAGCCCCTCTCTGGCTCTCTATTTGGCCTTTTTATTTGGTGGCTGTGTGAAGCAACGAACCTGGGTTAACTTCGTCCTTCGCTTAGTCCTGCGGTAGATGAGCTTGTGTATGGTCAGTGCGGAGATGCGTGCATGTTGATGGCTGCTGCGTCTGAAGAGAACGACAATTCCCCACGTCAAAATAAGCAGCCTGCATATCGCGTTTTGTGTGTGTGATTTCCCATTTTGTTATTACAAGTTTACAACAAACTGTTATTGTTTCTGTGTAGTTGCTATTGTTGTTGGATTGGAATAGCCCAAGCCGATGCCCAAGCAAGCGCAAAACAACTCTAACCTCAACCTCGCCTGTGTGCGAAACAGCTGTTTAAAGGCTCCAAAGAGCTCCAGAGAGCTCCAGAGAGAGCAGGTGCATGCGTGGCGTTGCCAGACCGTTTGCTGGTGGAGCCCGCTGTCCGCTGTTTATAAGTAACGTGCAGCGCTGGCTCCGAGTCAGTCACGTGCTTGCATTCCGACGCATTCGATACGCGGGTCGCCGTCTCAGTTCTTCTACGCTGCTCCTGCCGAGTGATCCGTTCGACAAATTAGCCGTAACCGTAACCGTACACGTACAGGTACACGTAGCCGTCGTCGTTAAAGCCGTCGTAGTCGTAGTCGTTGCGGTCGTCGCGCTGAGGTTTGATTGGCTGCCAATTGCAACGGGATAAGAATGCCAGGACTTCGCTTTAGTTAGCAAACAAAAAACACAAAAAAACCAGACAAATTGAAACAAGAGTTAAAACCAGAAAAGGCGTTGTCCTCGTTGACAATTTTTGTAATTCCCAACCACAGACAATCTATATATCTATATATCCATAATTTTAGAGCGCAAAGTCAGGCAGGCTTTTTCTGAGGCAGGCGAGAGATTTCTTGAGGCGAGTTCTGTTTTGATAGCCCCAAAAATTAAATTGAATAAATTTCAGCGTAAGTAACCCACCATTGACGATCAATAGTAATGCCACAACTAGTCGAGCGTCTATGTTAAATAATCTAGCTTAATTAACCAATCACGCATCCGCACCGTGCGCCCAAAGAATTCGCTCTCAAAAAACAAATCAAATCGAATCGAATCCACTCAATTCGACTGAAATCAAATCAAATCAATTTAATGTAGCACTGTCAGAGTTTCTCATAATTAATTGCTTGCTTTAAAACTTAAAAAACAAATTCTAGCTGGTAGTCGAAATTGGCGGCGAACGCTCACACCAATCAATCAAACAAACAAACAATCAAGCTTGTAAAAATTATTTAGCGCCAGAAAATACTATTTGCAAATCTATGTCACAATTCTACAACAAACTCTTTTCTATGTACTGTAAATAACCAATATTCTTTGCTAATCTAGAAGTAGTTAACTTATCTGTAGCACCAACTGCAATAAGAACTATGTAAAAATCCATCTGGAGCTAGAGGCTCAGCTCGCTTTGCATTTTGTCATTTCGTGTCCCTTGTGCTTGTAATCGTACTACACCCCTCTTGTACACCATCCAACACAATACTCCTCCGATGCTGTGTGGAGTGGAACACCGTTTGTGAACGGCACCGCGAACTGCAATCACTTAACAGAATAAGAGACAAGAGAATTGTCGCAATTGTATAGAGCATTCGACACAACTATCAAGATCTAAATCCACACCTAAATACCCATTCCTATAACTACACATATACTATATACTATACACCATGCGCGTTATCGTACTGAAAAAGAATCGCCCTAACAAGCGCGGCACGCCCACGGCAACAGCGGCAGCCACGTCGCGCGAGCCGCCGAAAAAAACGGCATACGCAAAAGTAAGAATAAATTCGATATATTCAATATTTGGTTTCAATTTTTGCCGATTTGATGGGACAGGACAGGAGGGAATGGGACGGGATGCTCATGCTCTGTATGCGCGTGGATAAGTCGCCAGCAATGGAGGAGAGCATGTCAGTCCTTTGTTTCCTGTCCAATTTGCCAGTGCAATCAATTTTTGAGACACCCTGCTCGATTAATGCAAATTCTAACGCCAAAACTTTGCCCACCGCGAATACTTGTATTAGATCAAATGGAAGTGCAATTACCTCGTAATCTTATCAGCATGTTTAAGTAGCCATCTTTACAAATCTATACAAAATTAGCTCAAAAATTGGTTGTAGTGGCCTGGCATGATATATCTATCTATTTAACTACGAGTATCAATACATTTACACATATGTATGTATTAGCCAGAATTCTATTTATTTCCAATGTTTATATCCAAGATAAAGCCATACTAGACCTTAAGGATTAGCTTAAATTGTGTGAATGTTGTGCTTGGAATTTAAAGCTAATTTAAACGGGTAAATTATGAATTGTGGAAGTTTATTTTTTTGTCAGCAAGGGACCCCCTAAATGTCCTCACTTGCTGTGTAGAGCACTTCGATTTCTGAGGGGCTGCCGTCGCGTTTTCGCTGTACCTCCCAGTAGAATGACAGAACTACGAATCCAAAATATGTCTCTAGAGCTGGAAATGCTTAGTGTTCAGTCAATAACCAAAGTAGAGCTAAAAAGAGTTCTCAGGGTGAAGATACACTTACATACTGACAGCGCCTCTATGACCAAATGCTCAACAACCAGATTGATGAACAGAGTATTGAGCATGAACATAAATACCACGAAAACTGTAAGGTAAAGCCACAGCAAGAGGCAAGTTTTGTGCTCCTGAAGATAGTAAAGTAAAAAATCAATTGGTCGATCCATAGCCCCGCAAATTACCCACAATTTTAGCTCCTATAATGAGCAGAATCGACTTCAAGACAGCCACCGTTTCCAGGGCCATGGTAAAAAAGTGATTCTCACTGGCTTGGCTCGAATGGGGATCCATTATGTCGTCTTCGATCGCCCGTGTGACAAATTCTGCCTCACTTGTGACAGTAGTTACAGTCTTAATTTCTGATTGATTGACCAGATTGTAGCACTGGTATATCTGCATCAATCCAAGCAGAGCCTCGAAGAAGGCAATAAGCTTGCATCCCATTTTCAGATCGAAGAAAAAGCAACAGCTCTTCAGTCCGGCCATTTCCTTGGTGCTGCGTCCATGAGCACCGTCTTCCAACGATCCCATCTGCGCCGTCGACCCAGTCGGGTTTTGGGTCGCGCCCACCAAATTTAGAATAAACGACATTTTTAAACGATTGCGATGTGTTTTTTTTACGGATAAATGATATAGATTGTAGTCGTTGAGATTCACTCAAAGCAAACGCCGATGAATGTAAGCTGCCAGCCTACTTAGCGAACTTTCTTTTCTTGAAGAGATTTTGATTAAGTTTTCTGTCGGCTTTCGATTTCATTTCGATTTAAGTGCACGAGAAAATCCAATTTGATTTATTCGCTTCGGATGGCAAAAAAACGGCACGAAATGGAGGAAAATCTAAAACAATTCAATTTTCTAAGTGTGGCAGCCAAAAAAGGAATAATCAAAGAAAAAACTCGTTGCCCGCTCCTCTGGCCCATGGAACTTGTTCAAGTTTCCGCCCATTTCGAAGGCACAATCAGTTGCCCATAAGCGAAATTCCTTTCCTGATTTTCTTTTAAAAGCATTTCTTGAATTGTCTTGACTGAGTCGGGAGCCACTTGAACCAGCTTTTCCTCCTCACTGCCATCCTACCAGCCCGTCCAAAGTATGCCTTTTGGCTCTGTTCGTTTACTTCTCTTTCGCTTTGGCCTCCCCTCCTTTTTGGCCAAGGTTTTGAGCCTAGGGCCCAGTCATGTTTTTCCATTTTATTTATTGTTGTTCGGCGTGTTGCATTGACAACTCACTCTGCGGGGGCATGGCTGCAGGCAGAGCAGTTGCATCCCAGCCATTTCTTAATCGAATATGCTGCGAATTACGAGTATTTTATTTCAATGGCGTCGAAACTCATTCAATTAATTAATCAAACGAAAACGAAAAAGAAACCAAATACGGGCAGGACAGGGACAGGGGCAGGGCCAAAGATTTGCGGACCACCTGGGAATGCGATTAATTTGGGCAGTCGAAGAGGATTACCCATTCCTAGCTTGAGGAGCCTGCTTGGCTGAGTGCTACCATCTACCGTCCACTCTGTGTGTGGGTGAAGGTCAAAAGCTGTGCTCCTAAAGGGTTAATTTTAAATTTATTGCCCAGCCCTTCCTGCTTATTCGCCCAAAATCCTTGTCGAGGGACCCTCAGACTTCAGACTCGACACCATAGGGTGTGGGCGTTGGTGTAGGCAGAGGCCAATTGTAGGGCAGGCAGACTGAGAGCCAAGAGGAAGCAACAAATTTGCACGTTAACCACGACCAAAGCAACAATGGGTTAAGCTCCCTGAATTTATGTATGCATGTGTGCGTGTTTTTCGGAATGCGTGAGCTTGTGGGGGTGTGTGTGACATAGTGATATTTCTCTGCGGCTCTGGGCCCCCGACATGTTATCTGAGGCACAACGCTCAGGGTTCAGTCAGGCCTTGTCTGGGCTCTACTTTATTTTATTGCTTTAATAAATATGAAATGCGCTTACTTTTTTGCCACCTACGCATTGCCACATTCGGCATAGTTTTCCGCGTAGTTTGCTCCTCGAGTGCCTTCAATTAGTTTCCCAAATTGGGTTTTTTCTTTATGACAATCCTCTTAATCTTAATCACACAATTTGACGGTCCCAAAACCAGATGAATTGATGGCCTCTCGCTGAATAGGGATATTTATATGAACATGTTTGTAGGTATGTGCATATGTATGTATATTTGGTTCCGTTGAAATGAAGGCGTACATAATTTGGTCGAGCATAAATTTTAATTAATCATAAAAATGTGGGCATAAAAATACCAACAGGTCTGCCTGTTTGCCTCTTTGCCATTTTTTCTGCCTTATATTCCATTTCGCTTCACTCTTTTCCATTCCATTCCATGCCATGCTGCCTAGCCGAGCATCTCCTGGAATTCATATTCATGTTTAATAATAAATCACAAGATGCCGCCGGGCCTGGAGCTAAGTCTGAGGCCGGGGCTTGTGCAGAGGCCAGTTGTGGTTGCATCCTTGGGTTACCACACACCCACACCCAAAGCAAGATGTAGAGAGAAAGAGAGAAAGTCAAATGCCAAAGGAAGCCCAAGTAAAATGGCGCGGGCATAAAAGGATTTGCGGCTAAAGGCGAATTTAATTAAAGACATCAACGCCGCCACACAATGGCTGAATCTCGCTCAAACGCCGCCTTCTTTTAATTGCCTTCGTTTCTACCTCGGCTCAGTTCCCCACCGATCCATTACACAGTACGAGTATATGGTGAAAGTCGTATTGCCCGACTACGACTGAACAATGGGAATTCAATTGCAAATTTTGGTATCAATTAGTCGGCCTCCCCTCCTTAACAATTCATCATCATCGTCATTATGTTGTTGTGCCATGGTCGTATCAGAAGGATGTATGCTTCAACTAATTTTGTGAATGAACACGATATGAAAATGTTTTGCAGTTTTGCATTTCACTGACGCCATCGGGAAGGGCTAAAGGTCCCACGCTGGTCCCCTATTGTTTTCACTGATAAATATTTAAGTGAAATCCGGGCAGGGAGTGCACGAAAGCGAGCCAAAGGGGACATAGAAGACGGGATGATGCCTTTATGGTCGTTTGGGTGAGATAGACAGACAGATCTGAGCTGTTTGGAGATTTCAAATTTCGTTGACGCATGCCACACAGAGTACGAATGGCAAAAACAAAAAACACTTTTCTTCCTTTTCCCTTTTTCATTCTCGCTCTCTCTGATTGTTGGCACACGCCATGGGTTTTCCCTCTGCATGTGTGTCTGTGTGTGGCGTTCATTAAAATTTCATTTGAAAATCAGCAGAAATGCTGCTGTAATCTCTTCTAGTCATTTGTTTTGCCAGCCACGAGAACTTTCCATTGCCTCTCCCCCATCTTGGTTGGAAAAGAAATATTCGCTTGTCAGCAGGAGCCAAGTTGATGGAAATTTTTGTAAAATTGGTAGAAAAAGTGCAAGGACAGACAAATCGTAGCTTGATATGCTTATATCTTGAATATTTTATTGCTACGACAATTGAATGTGCAGAGAACTTGCCAAATTGCCGACTACATTTTACGGGTCATATTCTCAGGCATCGAAAACGGAAAGAATCGAATATTGAACGAGTGGCAGATAGTAACAGATATTTTATTGAGCTCTTAGTTGTCGATCACCAATGATTGACTTTTTAGATTGCATAAATTCGTAGAAAGCATCTCTGGGAATGTAATAAATGAAATATTATGCTAAGACCGTATTAGCTGCCTGGAAACGACATTTCGAAAAGAAATAATTCCCAAATAATTATGGTATGCTTCAATAAGGGTATTCTTCCTTGCAATCGGCTGAAAAATGCCCTGACCCAGATTCCGTGACCTCACTCAGGCCTCACTTAATGGCTTTGGAATGCGCTCACCCACTTATAGCAATGCCTCAAAGTGATGGCTGTTTATCTGACATTTATAGTTTATGCTTCATGTTCTGCTCACCGACTTTCAAAAAGATAAACTCAGCGTAGATTCGTATGTGTACGTATAAAAAAAACAACGAATAAGAAAAGTAAAGAAAAAAGATGAGAAACAGAACTAGAAGGAGCACTGGGAAAAGTAGAAATGGAAAAGGTAGAAGCAGCAATGATAAAACTAGTAAAGCATACAACATTGTTTGACTTTGTGGATTTGGTGGGAATGGTGCAGCGTTCTGCTTTATCTGCTCCCTGCTGAGTCCCACCAGCCACCACGACCCTTTGGACCGCTCCAGCTCATTTTTGGCAGTTAACCCGTAAAGATGATAAATGCGAATGTCTTTGCCGTTTGAGTTTGAGTTGTTGCAGTACCTACTCAAGAAATTTATGACGATGCGCAACCCGAATTGGGCCACAGAAAAAACGAAAAAAAAACGTTAACGGAGAAATTGAAAAGGCTCAGGAAAATGCCTGAACTCTTGCTGTTCCTCTCCTCTAGATTGACAGGCCAGCTGGCAGGGTGCCCAGCTCTGGACCGCGCCCCTGCCGAGAGTCACATTAATCAACACTTAAACGTTTAATTGCCGAACATTAATCTTGAGGTTAAGCTGCCTCCGTTAGCCCTGAACTGTCAATTGTTCCTGTTTGCGAGTGAGTGTGGCTCCGAGTGCGGCCTGTGGCCTGTTCCTGTGGTTTTTTGTCGACTGCTTCTGCATTAATTTTGTCATTTAGCAATTAACTTTCCGGCTCGGTCGCGCCACGCATCCCATCGCCTCGCTCGCCTTGTTGTGCCCCAGCCACTGTGACAAATTTGAGGCTGGCCGCCTGTAAATATTGATGAGCCGTTCCACTGGGAGGGCGTCGGTTTCCTTCTCCCCAACCAGCAGCGATTCGGGCCGTTGATGGAGCGTTGCCAAAATGATGTTCGAGCTTATGCCGCCGGCTTGCAGCTGTCGCAGTTTTGATTGAAATATGAGCCTGAAATTGCCTTCGTTGTCGGAGAGTCGACTCTACGCAGCTGAGTTAATTAATTTCCACGTTGACATTTCTCTTTATTGTATACATATTTAATGAGTGCACTTCGGTATCGACTGAGGTTCCAGCCCCTGCTCTCAGTTGGTTGACCAACTTCCACACGCTGGTCCAAAATATTGCGGCCAAAGTTGATCCGAGAAGAGAAAAAAAATAGTTGTCTAAATAAATTCCATAATTTCATTTGGCCTCTGCATATTCAATAAGCAAAACTTTTGCCGCAACTAAAAAAAGGAAGAACCGAAAAAAATCCAAGAAAATAATAACGTTTACAAAGCGAATAATCTATACCCATCTCTTTTTTCATACATCGCTTTCTCGCTCTCGCTCTCTGTCGCTGTTTCTGTTTCTGTCTCTCGTTCAGTTGTGTTTGCTTTGCTGAACTGCATTGCATTGCCTTCAAAGGAAGAACTTTTGCAGTATTTGCTCGGCACTTGTCTTTTATTTTGCCTTACACTTAGTTCTGTTCCCAGTTCTGTTCGGTTTCCCCTTTCTGCCCTCTGTTTTGCCTTTATTTTCCGCTCTTTCAATTTTTATTTATGCAAAAAAGTTTCGCTTCCATTGTTGCCAGCCCCGACTCAGACCCAGACCCGACTGCCAGCCAACGTGCTTGTTATCGCATAAGGATGTTGTTACAAGTTTACTTCTCATTCTCTTCCTCTCTTATTGTGGAATGTTTTGATGCTCTTTCAGTGGTTATTAAGCTTTCGATCAGGTGCTTGCAATCCCATAAAATA